AAGGAGAGAACGTACTGATTGCGGGCACACCCATGGCGTGCGCGAGCTTTTCGCGCCAGACGAGGACGCGATGCAGACGCGTTTTGTACGTGTCGTCGGGTGCCGATGTGCGTGCGGCCTCTTCCTCTTCTGGATCGGAGGAGCAGTATGACGAGCATTCGGACTCGTCCTCAGACTCCTCCATGGACGACGAGTAGGATGAGGATGCAAAGGAGCTGCCCATGAAGGAGGACGAGGGTCGGATGCGTGGCGGTGCAGGGACCTCGACGAGCTGGATGATTTCGAGGGAGCACTGCTGGAGGTAGAGAGGGCCAGCAAGGGTCGCCTTGGATGGCATGTACATGGGATCATGGTGAGGGGCGACAGCAAAGGGCTCAGCGTCGTGCTGGAACATGGTGGCGAGCGGAAGAGGGCTGAGGGAGGGCGGGAGTGGCTGGAGACGCTGGGCCGGAGAGGAGCATCTTTAATGTTCTCGACAGGGGAGAAGGCTGAGAGAATCTCTCAGGAGCAGGTGTGCCAAAAAAGGCAGTCGCCCAGAAGCTCGCCACCGTCCGATCCGCATTATTTTATTCTTCGGAAAAGTCTCTTACGACCCGAAATCAAGATCATATCCATCTCAGATTTGTCCTTTTCCGGCCGCTCGCTCGGCTCTGTCATTTGCGCGTCCGCCCGTCTTCACGTGTTTCGCCTTAGTTCCGCCCCAAGCGGGCAAGCGTCTCACCTCCTGCTTTTTCCCAGCCACAGTGCCAACAGCGTCTCTTTGCCAGGCCAGAAAACAAGAATGCAAGTACAACTACCCACGCATCCCGCATCCCGCAGACACTCCACCATTTCCAATGTCCGTCTGCGGCACCGCCTGACCCCCGACCAAGACCGCCACTGGCGCCCTGACACGCTCGTCGCTGCACCTGCACTCCCACGATGCGCTCGCGGTGGGAGTCTCAGGGCCTCATTGGCGCTAGCCACGCCTCGGCCGCTTCAAACTGGTCGATCAGCTCAGGCATCACAGCGCTTTCGGAATGCAGCAGCCTCATGGCGGTCAGCGCCTGCATTCGGATAGAGGGCAGATACGGTCAGAGGACGTCAACGCCCGATTCATAGCGGGGGACGTACCACATCCCAGAACCGGAACCCCCGTTCCACCTCTGACTTCGGGCTCTTCACCCCTGGGAACGTCTCCTCGCATATTTCGAGCGCCATTTGTTTCGCCTCTCGGACTCCCTCCGCGTTCGGATCTCGCACCCGCTGACGGTTGTTTATGTGCGTTAGCGCGTCTAGGTAGACCTTCGCGAGCACCCCAAATCCGGTGTTCACTTCCGACTGGAATGGTAGTGATAAGTTGATGTCCAGATAATCGTCCCTCGCTCGTTTCGCGTCATGGCGCAGCAGCATGTTCAATGAAGTCACCTCCAGAAGCGTCCTCAGCGCTCGCGTGAGAGAACGCACAAACGAGTTGAACACGAGTAATTCGCGTGACAGGGGCGCGGACCATGGCTGCGCCTGTTCGCGATTATCACGATACATCGGCCGAGGAATCCAGCCACGTTACAATAGAGTCAGTAATACACAGGGAAGTTGCCGAGAGGTCGCGCACCTTGAAGTTTAATGGAACGATGCTCAGCACCCGCATCACCAACAGCATGCATGATTTCTCATCGTCTGGTGGTGCAGTTTCACGATGCGTTCATCAGTATGGTGACAGCATCATGATCTGTGGGAAAGCACGCCTCACCGGTACCGAAGCTAGGCCCTCCGCTGAATGCCCTTCCGGACCACAGGTGGCCATGCATGACGCCCGCTCTGACCAATTCCAGGAACAGATAGAGAGGGTCCTGAAATTTGTCGTTCACACGCACTGGCCGTATCGCAGAGTACATAGCGCGAGCCAGGGGCGAGTGCGTATGGGTGGTGAGCAGAAAGCTGGTTAGGGCGATGGCGTCAGCGTGCCGATGAATAGAGCGGGGGATCTCGTCAACGGATGAAGATCCTCACCCTCTGAGTTCCAAAAACCGCCATATGACATTGGCCACTACCTCGTCCTTCTTTTCCAGCGGAGCCGAGGTCTGACCGCTCTTAACTTTTGTCCGCGCGGCGAGTTTTTCCGACACTGTGGCTCCGAGGCATAGTGCAAAATCGATTGTTGACGACTATAAGTCCGGCGGCATCGCAACCCGGCATCACCTCAGCCCTGAAAATCATTCCAAATGCAGACGGTCACTTACGTTCTGTCGTCTCAGTTCCTCCTCGACGATAGCATAAGGTACATTCCAACCCGCAACCCTCTCAGCGAGCTGTGTGGTTGGCTGGGAATTGTGCCCTATCGGCTTCTGCGGTACCGCCTGTTCAAACCAGAAGTATCCGAAGACCTTCTTTGTCGCCCAGAATTGGTGAGCAACACTCGATACGAGGGCCAGCGCTGTCGCACGCGGACCCGTCTGGCCTTCAGTCACGACCTCCTTGACGAATCGTCTGTATTCGGTAGTCTCCCCGTTATCCAGGGGCGGGTTCTCGGTGACTTGCCCTGAGGTGAGCCAGACCAGCGCCTGCGGGCCCATCAGCCCGCGCGAGAGGTAGAAGTAGATTTCATCCGGTAGTCTGTTTGTGAATATCTCATGGAGGTCCGTCGGGACGTCAGCGGCTGTCGGGTGATGGGGGTGGTGATTCTGATGGCCATGGGGCGGAGGTGTAGTGATAGCCATCGGCAGCGGTACTACGGTTCCTTCCGATGTCAATATGAGCGAATATTTGATCATAGAGCGCGTCCGCGCGTAATGCTCTGGATATTGCAGGGCCTTGACTTGGCCAGACTCGGAAAACGCGGATACCGCAGCGTGGCCTGACTTGTAGTACTTGACCATGTCGACAGTCGCCTTCAATGCTTGCTCGTGGACGGAAGGTGGGAACGGAATGGAATGGTCGAAGCCTACGAGGATACCGATGTCCAGGAATTGGTCTTCCGTGACACCGAGGTCATTGAGGATGTTCCGCTTGGATACGAACGAGAAGTAAGGATTAGGAGATGTGAGATCCAGAGAAGTGATGAGCTTGTCGACACCAGGGTACAGAAGCGTGTCCGTTGGCCCAAAGATAGCATGGATGTACATTTTCTGATGCCGTTGCAGGTAGATCAGCTGGAATAAAAGACGTTAGAGGGCATTTTCCAACAGCACAGTCGCCGGACACGTCACTTGGTAAGACGTACTTGTGCCCACGCAACATACGGTGCGACAATGAATTCCACATTTCGATGTCTGAATATTCTCAGCACCATCTTCCACAGATCCCACTGATACAGGTTACTCCTGCCCTCAAACAGCTTTGTGGCGGCCTCCTCCTGGCCACTCTCATACTTTGCCCACGCATTCCCCCGATCACGGCATGCCTCGTTCTGCTCGAGCTGCTGCTGCTGTTGTTGCCTCCAGCGCCGGCTGGGGAGGAGGCCAGGGAAGACAAATACGGGCTTGATGTGGAGTTTTTCGAGCGCGCGAAGGTCTGATTCGATACGCTGCGTCAGAGCGAGGGGGAGACCGCCTGTGGCCGCCAATAGAGGTTCGCGCGACGGTGGGTTGTCAGTCAACAAAGTCAGGTAGTATGATGCATCTATGCCCAAACGCGAGTCCGACAGCACAGATAATGGGTGCGTCTGCAGGTGCTTTCGCTCAGCGAGATAGCCTGAGGAATTATGTTATTTCTTCGGACATTTCAAACCTATGACAAATGCTCGCACCGTCAAAGTGTTTGATAGGCATCGTAATCTAGTGCAGTTGTCTTAGAGCCTCGGAGGATGGTGAAACGCGTCCAACAGCCAGTAAACAAGGTTGCAATGCTCGATTACGTAAGCTAGTAACTGCACTGTTACGGTTACTCAACGCTTCGCCAAAGCTCTGCAGCTCTCTTCTGCGTGCGCAGGCATCGGTTCCATATTTTTCCTCCTTCGGCCCCGGAGTATTGCATAGGCCTCGCAATGCGACGAACTTGGTGCAATCCGTCATTCGGCACCGCCGGTTGCAATACGGTGGTTTCGTGAGAACGGTCGTACTCTGACATTCCCTCTTAGAACTGCAGGATCCTCGCCGGCTGCGTTGGGCTACATGAGAAAGCCGAGGAAGGGCGTCGACTCCAGCGGCGTGGCCTAGCGACACCCGTGCAGAGCGCCGCTCAATCGGATGTGTGGTGTCTGTCCACACACGCCTGTAGTATTGTGCAGCGGCTCTAGCCATATAGGACCAGCTTGCTCTCAGGAGGTGGGCCTCCCTGTATTGATTCGGACCTGTGCAAGCCCTATGTGCATGACTGACTGTATAGGATTATTATGACTACTATATGATCTAGCTTTGTCACGGGTTTGCATGAAGTTCCTTTCAATGAGAGCAAGTCAACCTTTTTCATCACACGATTCTCGCACGCAACATAAGCAGTCGCGTCTAGTGCGCTGCATCCAGCCTTCTGGGAGATCTAGCACTCGAATTCAATACTTACGCGCGCGTTCCTCTCCAATACTATCGCAAAATCACCGTTCTCGCTTGCGGTGAGCGCAAGAAGGCACTCTTGTCAATTCAAGTTCAATCGGTTGGTCCGGGGCTTTTCATAAGCGTAAGGTCCGCTTTGCGTCGCCCTTTTGGCTTGCGCTCTCCCATTGCAGGCAACGTTTCCTTCGAAAGAAGAGTCGAGCTCTCGACAGGCCCATTCATTCACATAGGTCGTTCACATTGCAACGATTGGGCTCGAACATTGCCAAACGCCTCCTTGCCTTGTTCCTGTCACAATAGTGCGGCCTTTCGATCCGTCAAGTTGAGCTTCAAGCTTGACAGTCGTGGCATCCTCACTCTATAGAGGCAGCCACATGGGCATGCCTGCGTGATGCGATTGTAGTCAGTACGACGTGACTGGTCACCACGAGTACCTTTTATAACCGACGCCTTTGTTCAACGGATTGCCATGTTAATGCATCCACTCTACTTCCGGGGTGCATGGTGCATGTGGCCGCGGTTCGTCGAATCACCGGAATAGATCACCGCGCGAACTGCGACCACGCTACTTCTGATGCAATTTTTTGCTGGAAGCACGAGGCCGGGATGTTGTCACATCTGACGATGCAGTGTTGTTCGTACGCTCCCGCTGTCAGCTTGTGGCCTTCGCCGTGAATCATGATTAGGAAGCAGTGCCGTTAACGTAATTATAGCGCGGACAAGGTTCCCTTCTAACCTCCACTTGGCCATGCAGGAAGTTGGCGATCACCTCTCCAACACGAGGAGCTAGCAGCAAAAGGCAATGTGAACATGCTGAATCGATGAAGATCTGATCCCTCCCAGGTCAGAAGGTTCAATCAAGCATCTCGGACTCGGAACGCTGGTGAAAGCGTCACTTGACAGCTTTGATGTGCACCGACGGCCTCGACTGCAGTCTTGCCGGCGGTACCTAGGTTATCAGATAAGCGTACTATATCCACCAGGAGCAGTTACGAGATGTGCATTTACCGCAGTCCCAGCATGCAGTGCGAAACGAACTTGATATGATGTACGTCGTGCGCAGTATCAACCGCTATAATGAACTCAATGCGACGACGTCTGAGCCGAGGTTCGAAAACAATCAAGCTTCTGTTGTCTCTGTCGAAGGATACAAGGTTGACGCCGGGCCATTCCCGTCTAAACGGTATTGTTCTTGTGCAGTCCAATTTCCGGATCCTAGGACTCTGCGACGTGAAGGCTTGCTCTTCATACCGGACAATCAGCGGGTGTGAAAGCCATCGGAAATGGCAGTGCTCTGGCTCAAGGCCTTATTCTTGGCGCGCCGCTGGTGGAGATGTCGAAGCTATTGCGGGACACAAGGTTTGACCTCTAGGCGGAGTCCTGCATGCGAAGGACATGGCCACGCAACAAGGTCGCTAATTATGAGCCAACCAACCGAATACGCTGCCAGCGATGAACTCCGCTGAGGCTTCTCTTTCCTTCCAACATCTATCCGACCATGGTGGCGAAACCGGGAATGCGACGGGCATGTCGGGCCAGGCCATGGTGGGTATTGAAATATTGAAGGGTAAGAGACACCGTGTGTCAAGATCCGGCTGGCATCGCAAGACTGCGCCGCACTGCATTGAAGCCTCTCACGACCTATCCCTGGCGATAGATTCCATTGAATAAAAGAATACACGAGTAGCCGTTACACTGCCTAACTGATGGAGCGGAGACCGACGGCTCAAACCCTATCTTACAATTCAACGCGAGTGACCTATCTCGCATGCGGCAGCACGGAAGCATCCGCGCGCATAATAATACAGTATTGCTGAGCACCGCGCACGGCGCCAGCTCAACTCCGGCGTGGGTATGCGAGCGACAGCAACGCCCAACAAAGCAAGGGCGATGCTCATACCGCAGGCCATTGAACCTTCGCTGAGTGGAGCTATAACAGGGTTCAGAATGAAACGCCCACATTCGAAGGCTTCCTCCGTGGGTCGCGAGCTTCGGCGTCGCGCGCCAGCTCCTGTATCTCGGCTTGGAAGTCTTTCTGTCAAACGCGTCAGCTAATTGAAGGACGCTGGGATTGCGGACATGCCGCCGCCTGGCAACGCTGCATGCTGCACACGTTGAAGCCATCACACTCACATTTTTCTCATACTCGCCGACGAGATTCATTACCTGTCGCCACACCCAGTTGAAATCAGTTTGCATCCGCTCCTTTCTGGCGCTATCTGCCATTAGAAATCGCGCGATTCGCAGCTGCGGTGAATAGAAGACAATTGAATGGCAATCGTTAGCCGCATGACTATTCAGACTCTGAATAGCACAAATGCTCGCCTGTATACTCTTGTTCGTGATGGAGCGGTATTCCATAATGTTTGCCGGGAATTTTGAGTCCCTCTGACGGCGCGCGTCATCCTCTTTGGCAGCAAGGGCGTCACGCTCTCGGCAGAGTGCCCCCAATGTTCTGAGATGTGCATACTCGAATGAGGAGGCAGCGTCATCGAATGCATTGAACATAGGTGTGTTCTGCCCGCGTGCTGTTCGGTAAAATGACTGTGGCATGGCATACTAATCAGTATGACTGAAGGGGGATAGAAAAAATTACCAGCTGACATCAATATTTGAGTCGTGCATGGTGTCGTCGGAGGAATGATAACGATCTTCAGCATCCATCAGATAGTCATCCGCTTGCCGCTCAAGCAACGTCTGCATATCCTCTTCATGCCGCTTTTGCAGCTCCTCTATACGTTCTGTCACTCCTGCTGCAGTCTCTGGCCGTTCATTCATTTCTTCGAGTACCTCTAGGCTAATGATGACTTCACATTCAGGGATCACTGGTGGCAGTGATGTCGTCAAAATACGCACTCGGGGAAGTAGGAGCCTTTGATCTCCAGGACAGCTTCAGCAAGGCGACGTCTTTCCACCGCATCATATAACTCTCGTTCGTATGTGTAGACTGCTGCCTCGTCCTCATCTTGAGGTTTCTTGTGTAGTTCAGGAACCTGTACCTGGCCTTGCACGCGGCGACGGGCTGGATCCTGAAAGCCGTTTGTACCTCTGTATTGCGCTTTTGCATATCGTTGGCTAGATTCGGACATTCTGATCTGACAAAGCGAGAGACAATTCCTTCAAAGCTCCAAGCCGCAAGTTCAAGTTGGTGCGCGCTTGAGACGACCTTGGAACGACCTTCATGTGCGCGTGGAACATGGTCACGTGAACGACAACTCGGCGGGGCGTGGGCGCTTACACGCTTCTCCGGATTTCAGCTAGACGGTCGTCGGCGTCGTGGATGTGAGTACTCCATCAATGCTCGTTGCGTAGCAAGTTAGTCACCTTATTCAATAACGCATATCAACCTACTCTTGGACTCGTAAGTGTTGAAACTTATGACGTTGGGGAATCAATATCAATGCAGACTTTCCTCAAGTTCTGCAGGTCTTAGCATAGCTACCGCGCCGCCGCGATCACTAGTCCGTTCTCGTGAATTGGCCGGCGGATTCTCTCGCGTTGCTATAATTCGACTGTGCATGACAACTGTAACTCAGACCTAACCGAAGGAGGCTTGATTCGCGGCTGAAACAGACATCTATATCTCGCGCGGTTGTACTTGGACTTTGGATCGGACCAGCGATTGCTTTGACTGTACCTGACAAGGTATTGCTTCACTCATTGGGATTCCACGCTGTTCTCATGCTCGAAAAAAGATACCTATAGATGTCCTCTACTCGAGATACTTTGTTTCCCCCAGCATCTATCGGACGCACTAGCTCACCAGTGCCGCGTGTAGCGTCCCACGAGAACTTACCCACTCATCCGCTCCTGTCGCCTCCTGCCCCATCCTCACCCACATCTGCAACCTTCATTGAAACAGCCACCTCGGGCCCTCCACGATATGTCCCGTACACGCCGCGACAGCGTGTTGTCCCAACGTCTGCGACCACCGGCGCGACCATGCATCCAAACATAAGCCCGCAACAGCAGCAAAGCGCGTATCATGGCGACGCTACCAGCAAGCTTCAGCTCATGAATCTCAAGGCTGCGGCCCAACGCATAGGCCTGGATGCAGGCAGCACAGGATGGGCGATACTGGAGCGCCTAGGGTCGGAGACAGATCACGGACCCGAGTGGAACGATATCTGGAACGCATTGTCAGTGAGCAAGGTGTGTGCTGATGAGACTGCTTAGACGTGCTGGCCGTGATGCAGTTCTCCAGGCGACCTTGCTCTTACCCACAGAGCTGCACCGACCAAGTGACCCAATCACTCCGGAACTTATCAAGGATCACATAGCACTGTGCGACAGCTCCTCCAAGAATGGAACAGCAATCGTCACTCTCTCAGGGATCCGTGGCACTCTCGCAGAGTGAGCGAGTTAACACTTCCTTCCCTGCATGCACTGACATGTCTGAAGTCATACCCTGGCGTTCCGCTCATCGATCTCCCCGGAATCGGAGTCGTTCCTCGCACTTCTCTCCCCCTCCAAGCGGTCGTCCACGTTTGCGCTACTGCCTCCTCTTCCAAACCCTCTAGTACAGCCCTCGTCACCGGCACCTCCCTCGCCTTCCTCCTCTGTGTCATCCATACCATCGGCCCTACCACGGTATCCTTCCTTTACCAATTCCTCTCATGTCGCCTCTCTGCCCCTTCCTCCTCGTCCCTCGGTGCCTAAACCGCCTTTGCCCCCTCGTCCGGGAACCCGGGCGGCATCCGGTCCTCCAAATCCGACTTCACGTCTGTCCAACCCTTTTGCTTCCCTTTTTGGACGTGCCGCTCCCTCTGCAAGTCCATCCACCACACCTATCTTACTGCATCCGGAGACAGCAATGGCTTCGTCTATCTCCACACCTAGCTCCACCGGATCGGGCCCCAGCACGTCATCTCTGTCGCAGGCAGGATCGACCGCTTCTCCAGGAGGAGATCGGGGAGCAGCGTCAGAACACTCAGTCGAAGTCACGGCATATGCGATCTCGAAGACCATTGACCGCGCGTCGCTCGGTCGGGCATTAACGGATGCGATTACAGGTGAAATGCGCGCTGCACTCTGGGATGCGCACGTCCCACCATGGGCTGTAGAGCGTGTGGAGCGATTCTCGCAGCCGCTCTTCCCAATGTCCAGTGTCGGGGCTTCGGGTGCTGTTAAGGAAGCAAACGGGCGTAAGGTACCTGGTGTTATAGATACAACCACTGCTGGACGGACAGTCTCCTCGCGAATCAAAAGCAAGGCAGATTCAGATGCAGAGTGGAGCATAGCCAGCGGCGTATCTCAAGAACGCGCTGACGAATTGGCTGACAAGTTCCAGGGCTTCTATGCGGAGCTGGAAGACATGCTCTGGGAGCGCCTGCCAAAGACCAGCCGGAAGCATCTGAAAGGAAATGGAAGGAACACCCAGCTGAACGAAAAGAAGGGAAGCGGGAATGAGAGCATGACTACGAGTACAAGTGAAGGTGGTAGTGACGTTGAAGAAAGCATGCATGAGAAGGCGGCAGGAGAGACCGAAGAGGATCATGAATCGGGGACACAGGCGGAGATACAACGAATCATGAATGCTGTGGAGCGTGTCCTCTGCTCGCTATTTTATGATAGGTGCGTTTAGGAAGGAATGGGCGTGAAACTGTTTATGCCCGAGCGCCACTTCGCAGATACTGACCGCATTGTGTGATAGGTTGTTCTGTCCAGCCAGCACGGATGACGCATCTCACGACGAAACTCTCTCCAGCCGGATCGCAGCAGTCAATGTTCTCGATCTCGGCCTTGCCCATCTTGGTGTAGATGTTGGTGACTCAGGAAAGCAAGTGGAGGCAGTGATAGGTGACTGTGGACGAAGTAAGTCCGGTTGTGATTCCATTCCACCTTTTTTCATACCATTGGCGGAACTTTTGGCTCGAACGACTGGCTTAATGATAATAATTGACGGATTTTCGCAGCGCTTATGCAGCTTGACACGGCACGTCGTTCGCCGGCTGAGAAAGCTGCCGTCCTTGTTTCGATACATAAGGTCATTGTTGGTAAGAGCGTTAGCGCGTCCTTGAGGTCTGCGACTGACCTAAAATTGTAGACGGACTGTCAAGGTTGCCTCCTATCGAGCTGAAGTCGGAAGAGGAGCTGCTGGACGATAAGACTCCGCGAGCGGGATCTTTTGGGCGCAAGAACCCAGATGATGACCATGCTGATGACGACGACGACGGGAACGACACCACCCTCAAGGAAAGAGCCCGCGACGATACTGACAATCTTGGAAAGCCGGAGCCATCATTGCTTTCACCGGCAATAGTCCTGTCACCCGAGGATGCCAACGGCTCAAATAAGCAGATCGTCGTCTCGTCTTCGCACGAGCAAACAGTTTCAGCCGACGGTGATCGCACGCTACATTCTCCTACAGAGACCTCCTCCCAACGCGTGTTTTCCCCAGTCCGTAGTAGCTCGCCTCTCCTCACGGCTACATCGCGGACTGCCACCCCTACACAGGTCTCCGGTGATGTCATCCTCCCATTGATGATCTTCGCTGTCGTCAAGGCCAATCCGCCGCGGCTTGTTTCAAATTTGCTGTACATACAACGTTTCCGCCGTGAAAGCGCCGGTGGAGGTGAAGAGGGTTACTGTCTGATCAACCTGATGGCAGTTGCTGAGTTCCTGGAGAATGTTGATTTGGCGGCGTTGGGTCTAGGGGAAAGTGGGAAGACCGTTCTCAGGTTCGTCGTTTCAGCTTCACGATGATGCACAGGTTTCGTTCTTTCGATCAGCACCGTGATTCCGAAGTTACTTCATAATACGCTACTTTTCTTTCATCCCGCGTGGCAGGACGGTGATACTAATTCATTATGTATGCGTCTGTCCGCAGTCCATCCCAACTTAGTCCAATCCCCCTCGCCCGTTCTGTTCGCGTTCCAGGCGCTGAATCGGTGACAACTCAAGTCGCACAGGCAAGCTTGCGTGGCAGAGTGGAGCAGCAGGTGGATGCCATTGCAGGTTCTGCCAACAAGGTCATATCTGGAGTTGTGGACACCTCGTTTGGGGTGCTGCGTTCCCTTCTGCCGGGACAGAATCAAGGACAAGGATCCTCTACTGGTGGGAATACCGAGAGCACAGAGGAGTCAGCGTCACGCCCTGGATTTGGTATTCTTAGACGAGATACGGGCTTCTCAATCGCAAGCTTAGCGGCTTCATTACCAGGCAGCCGCACGCGATCTGCATCTACAGCACACAATGAAGAGTCTGGACAGCAGATGGTGGAGGTTCCCTCAAGACCGGGATCAAGCAGATCGATGCATGTAGATGAAGAGCTTACGGCTTCGGATGAACAGAGCAGTGGGGATGAAGACGAAGGAGACGAAGAAGATGAGGGAGAGCACGGTCATGATACAAGGAGTATCCGTAGCTTCGAGAGCATGATGAGCGGCCGCACTGGGCGGAGGAAGGGCAAGAGACGACCCTCTGCCCCCCGCAAGAGCCTCACGGACCGGCTTGCAAACATGCCAGGTTTATCGCGATTGTCTCAGAACCAGCCGCACGATGTGCCCAAGGTATGCACGTCGATGATCATATCTCATCGGCAGCTGTGCTCAATACTACTCTTCACAGCTGAGTTCTCCGCCAGCCTCACGGCGATCGTCCCTCCTCATTCCAACAGGCTCCACACCGTACCGGTATGACTCACCTGTATCGTCGCGCGCAGCATCGCCGATTGCGATCCGCATATCGCCCCCTAACTCGCGTTTCCTCACATGCACCGAGGATGATATCAAGGTCTCGGAAGTGGGAGAATTGTTGAGAGAGTACAAGCGCTTGGCCGAGGCTGTTCGTGCTATGGGTGGATTCCAAGACGAATGAGACTTCGGTGTCTTATCCTGAGCATTCGATATTGCACCTGTGTCACAGGTGCTCCGCAGTATCCTGTCGCATCTCATGCCTTGTCATATATTTTATACTTATCGCTCATTTCGAGTCCATGATCCAAAACCTTGGCTTGTCTTCCAGGTATAAGACAGATACATCAACAGCTGAGGGATAAGGTAACATGCATCTACATCGTTTTGTACAGCTGGTTAAGATCTACACAGGACGCCAGCTGCTCGCTCATGGAGGTGCTATTCAAATGTCCCTCAGCAACAAAGCAGTGCAACTATATTATACAAGTGGACGCGTATGGGAACAATGATATCGTATCACATTAGTCGTATCGCATGCGGTCAACGCCGCAATCAAGAAATGGCCAGCGAACATCATCAAGGGGAGCACAGTTCTCATACCTTACTCATAACGAAGGGACCCTCGAGGGGGATGGCGCGAACATGATTGGTACGCAAGCGCCACGAGCCCACGAAATTTCCCGCTACGATGTAGCCTCGGAAGATGTAGACACCCAGCTGAGGGATCATCGGCACACGTACGATCGCTACAAGGCCGTCCCAGGAGCGAACGCGGCCGTAAAAGTAGAAGTGATGCCATGCTTGGCCGTGCCTAGGCAAAGTCTGCGGGGCATGTGGTGAGCGAGACTCGTGCGGCAGAGAGTGCGCCTCTTACCTCGCCCGTGATGGCAATATCGGTGATTCCGCTGCAGGTGTTCTCGATGCATCCATCGCTCTCAGCCAGACTGCTGGCGTCGTCACTGGTGACTTCGCTCATCACAGTGTCGATGAGTTCGTCAGCATCTGTGTTGGGACCGAGGGCGGCGTCAACTTGCTTGCGCACTCGCACCAGGTTGGTGTCGTCATCTGGATATTCCGCGTCTAATCATCCGGCAAATCCAAGCGCGCGTCAGAGAGAAGTGATCAGGTAGAGTAAGAGTCAAGACCTACTTGATGCTGCGGCAGCCATGATCTCTTCAATCCTCTCTCGTTCCTCCACTTCGTCCAGCTCTCGTTCACGTATGCAAGCAGTGCACGTTTCCGGATTATGAGAGTTGTCACGGCCTTCAACAAACGTTTCATACCGAGAGACGAACCCATGTTCCTCGTCAGTGATCGTGACGAATCCGCCCGCCTCACGAATGCGGCAATGGGGAAACCAAGCGTTGCTAATCCCATCGTCGTTCTCATCCTCCGACCCTCCTGGCATGATGGGCATTTCTGGCATAATGCAGTGATGCTCACGGAGGTTTGCGTACATGGGATAACCGACTACTAGCGGGTTTTGGCTGGAAAAGCTAGCTGGGAGGCGCGCAGAGTTGACTAAAGCAAAGTACTGATCGGTATCAGGTACCTATGAAGAAAGCCTCAGTATTCGCAGTGAAGAATGCCACAATATGACATACGAGCAGCAGACCCTTCCAAAGCCCAGTCAGCGTGCCAAAAGCATACGTGGGACCTTTGGGTTTGATTTCATAAGGATTCCCACAGCCAACCATCCTATTCCATTCTTCGTCCAAAGCAGCGCTAATGGCTTTGAGGCCCTTCCTCCAAGCGCCGTCATCCTCCAATCTGCGTTGTTCTTCGGTCAAGCGTTGCGTCCATTCCGGGTCGCCCCGTCCAATTAACTTTACCGCCTTGTGCGCGTTCGCTTCTATCAGATCCGTTTGTGTCGGATTCACGTAGTTCCGGCCCATCTGCATCGCGTGTTCACGATTGACGGGTAGAGCGGGGTCGATCGTGAATGGCATTTCGGAGAGCGAGATGTAGAGCAGCTTGGCTCCTTGAGCGATGAGGGGAGGGGACAGCTCACGCTTGAGGCCGAAGTGTTCAACGAGCTCTACGCACATGGAGGGCTCTCTGTACTGTGGGTACCAGCCGTGGGGTGTGACGAGGACGCGCTCATATTCATCATCAATGCGGCGTGGAAGCGGGATGCAGAAATGATTATCAGGAGCGAGGAACGATGCGTAACGTGGTGCCGCAAGTGCATAGGGGCGGATCCGGTCGAGAAGCAATTTGCGTGTTTCGCTGTTAAGCGTGGCGAGCTTTCCTATATAGCGGATCACTCAGATTGAAGCTCCATGAACAATCAAAAGACGGACCTTCATCCAATCTATACCAATAGATCCAAATAGCTAGAGCGTTGATGGTGAATTCCGCTGGCCAGTTATCGTATGTCTCGCGCGCGTGCCATAGGCGCGTCCGCAGAAACTGGACTAGAAAGTCGTCGACTCCCGCCCAATCTAGCTGAAGTTCGTTCTTTCCATCATTCTCGAGACACATGAGCCAGACCGCCCACAAATCTTCCTCCAGCTCGTCATGGACTAGATTGCCGGCGCGAATCCGCCTAAGGGTTGCGAAGTTCCTTTTCAGTTGCGCAGCTAAGTGGCTCGGCCTCACGGCTTTCTCGCCTAGGCGTCGACGCGCGGCCCTGCAATCGAAGCTACCGCGGAAGATCCGGGCATAGACATCAGAACAACTGTGCAGGCCGAGGGTGTTGTATAGATGCTTGCACGTAAGAAGCAAAGGAACCAGAGCCGTAGGCGGGCCAACGGGAGCGTCAAGGAGAGCTACGTTCACCGAAATCTCCTCGAGCACCTCGCAAGGTACCCTACAGAGAAAGGATGACTGGAGAGGCATAGTGAGGTGCAGCCAAAGAAGAAAGGCTTCGCTACGAAACAAGCAAAAACACCCCGTTTTCAATCGCCAAGAGCGGCGTCTGAGATCTGTGAGTTGTGCAGAATATGCCCAGGAGAGGTAGACGGGTAATGGTTACGTGCTGGCAAACGGAGATATGTGCAGGGTTATGTCGTCGCCGCTTGAAGGATAGCTGCACTGGTTGATCGGTGTCTTGCCTTGAATAATATCCTCAATAGGCAAGAGTCATTCAGGACTGGCTTCTTCATTCCCATGCCCATGATTGATCGGCCTTCACCACTGCTGTCGACCTGGACTGGCCGTTCATTTCCTCGGGTCGCCCTGAGTGTCGCGGGAGAATATGGTATGGTTGACGACCAAACACGGGCGGCAGATGTCAACTATGCGCACGTTATCTCTGCAACGACGTCATTTGTCTGCTTGTCTGCAGTGTCGGGGATTCGCATATCTTCGGAGAACAAATCATTTAGTTGACACCTCGGGCCGCGCGATGAGAACAGCGAGTCGCAAGTCCGCCATTGGATTACCGAGTGCGATGCTTAGAACCCGCGAAGCAAGCCGCCGCTGTGAGGAACATGCGGCGACGGCAGGAGAGTACGTACATCCGCGTCGAAACGGCGAAGAAGCACCCTTCGTGCTCCGCTGCGACCACAGGACGACGGTTCTCAATCCCAGACCATCATCTTCTGCGGGGGCCTTTCGGATCCAGATTGCCTCCTCCGAGAGCGAAAGTTCGGCATGTGCTTCCATGACCGCGCACGTTGAGCAACCTGGAGACTGCTTTTCATTTTCATTGTGGCAACCCTGAGCGGGGAACTAAGAGTTCCACGCCTGCTGGCACTTCATCAGACACATGGTGGGCGCTGTTACGCAGGCACTTCGTATCGCATATACAAATGTAGGGGAACATAAGGGTCGCAACGGCAGAACGGCGAGTTCCAAAGCGTACCTGACGTGCGCAAGCAGGACGGCTGGTATAAAGTTTTTCCAGGTTGCAACAGCCGCATCACAAGTTTGTTTCGCGTGTTACGGACGCAAGCAGAACGGTTCCGCGGCCGGGTGCTGTGTGTGGGCGCTGCATCGGTAACGTATAACTTACAAAGGGACGACGCGCGTGAATGGACAAATATACCAAGTTCATACCAGGTCCTGCCGCGTTTTCGCCGATGGACAAAGCCGTACGTCAGCATTTCGTGTGTGTTTGATCCAATGGCGAGACATCAGCCAGCTGGGAACCCTTCATGGCTGAAACATTGCCACGTTCTGGAGGGACGCGATATGCCGTATCTCGTGTCCCTCCGCGATATTACATCGCAGAATCGACGCCCAATTGTCTTCTGTCACCGAACGCTGGGCGTGCGCCGCGTGGCACAAGGAGCCCAAATGCGGCCCACAAAGCACATACGAACTTCCGAGCGAATCGCCCGTGATGAAAGGTGCAAGAAGTAACGTTTGGCGCTCAAGCCACCTCCGCACGGAGATGTTTTTAGTGACATACTTACGTACATCTGATCCTCTGCCAGTAATCAATCACGATGATGATGCTTCGGCAGGATACAAATTGCCAGCGAGGGTGGCGACGAGTCCCTGGAGCTTCGACTCTCTTCGAACGTGCGTCGGTCTTGCAGCAACGGCGAGCTGATCATTCCGCGAGTATTCCAGTGCAGTTACGATACCTGGTGCAACATAATCGTCACATGGGACCGCTATGGAGGATTCTAGCATGCTAGAGCCTCCTCGCATCTCATCTATGTCGGTGAGGTGAAGGCTGAGTGACTCACCGATGAACGTTTACCCTCCATTCAAAGTATGTACGTACAGGTGGACATCGGCCGCCATGGATGATGTTTCACGGAGTTTTGATTGCATTCTAGCATCCGACGCAATGACAAATTGAAGTCAAAACGACGTCGGCGAGACCAGTCAATTGTCGCAAGCTAGGTCATTTCAAGAAGAAAAGGAAAGCTAGGGAAAGCTGCGTCTGTCCAAATGTGTGGCCTCCAACAAGCTGGCGATTCATATCATCTTGACAACCTGCACGCTCACTAGGAACATCAGAAGGATGCTTCCAAGAATGTGATATTGCTTCTTCATTGAGCAATATGACCGCACCAGGACATGCACGCGCAATCCATGGCAACGGTAACGGGTCTGGTTTTACGTGTTCATCGCATGCACACCCACCCTCTGCCTTCGTCGCACCTTACCAGTCTTGATTCCCACCCACAGCCAGAAGAAATCAATCTTATACTCCTCCATGTATATATATTTCCGGAATGACGTCGCAGAGAAGATTCGGGTGTATGTACATGCCGAAAATCGACCAGAAATCATACAAATGAATGAAACATCAGCGACTGACGGTCAGAGAGCATCCAAGAGTACCATAACCAATTACAACGATGAGATAGACGCACAGACGGCAACCGTACTTAGTACCAGAAGTCCATATAGAGAGCACTACAAATTTTGATAGCGGACCGGAGCACAAACACATCTTCCATCGGCCACATAGCAATTCATGAATCTACCTCCATGCGCTCATCCACACCACGATCCTGCTTCACCCTCTTCGCGGAGCCCGCCAACCCAGCGAGCGCCGTGGCAGCAACGACAGTGTCATCATCTCCATCCGCGCTCCTCTTCTCGCCCCTGCTGCCAGCCGCGAAGGCACCGACTCCAGCGAGTTGAGTTCCCCCACCTCCGTCACCCTCCGGCGGAAGCCCGATCGAAATGCTCCTCGGCGTCGCGTAACGCGAGCCCGCAGCAGAACTGGTCGTGAGCGAAAGCGCGTTGAGGGACGCAGCGGCACCACCGGTATCAAACGTGTTAGCGGTGTAGTAGCTCGAGAGCGAGCCCGGATGCCCGACGCTCAGCGCAGAGCTGGAGTTGCTGCGGGAAAGAGGATATACCGGGGTCGCGCGGCCTGAGCTGGTCGCACTTGCCAGTGGCGAAAGCGGCGCATATGGCGAGAGAGGGGAAGAGGGAGACTGCACGTATGACTGTCGGTGGGTGTGGAAGTCCCGCTGATGCTCATGAGATGAGTGCGATGCAGATGGAGGCATAGCCATGCTCGGCAAGCCATCTGGAGCGACGGGCGCCTCCCCATCTACGTCGCCATTCTGCTGGCGTTGAAGGCCTATGATTCGCAATCTCTCGACCCATCTGCGGTATGAGATCCGTCAGCACGCCATATCGCGTACCACTCACAAGAGTGGAGAAAGAGTGACGTACGCATCAGCACGGTCTAAGCTTTCTCCCACTACCGCTGTAACACCACGGAGCATATCCAAGCTCTCCGTCGCGAGCGTCAAGATACGCTGTGCCGCCTGACTAGCCGCATGTGCAGTGGTCGGCGCGACGCTTCCATTTCCAGCTGTATGCCTCACCGCGCCCGCAACTCCGTTCGAAGATGAACGGCGCGAAGGCGCCCTCGAGGGCCCTGGAGACGTCGCACGCGATGGCGGTCGCGACCGCGGCGAAGGACCAGCCTCCCCTGGGCCGTAGCTGTACGGGGCTGAGCTGGCATTTGCGCGGCGACTATCCACTCTATCAGCGCCGCCAGGGTGGCGCCCGTCCGTGGCAGACGAGCTGTGGCTATCTACTCCAGCCGCCTCTGCCCACCGCCGAGGCAAGCGGAGGATAAATGTTCGCACACTTGCACGAGCCGGTTCTGGAAGCGCGCCACCAGCGTATCGGCTAACAATATCCACCACTTGTCGGATCGTTTCAACGACATCACGCTTGGCGGCATGGAGTGTACGGAGATGCTGAGATGAGATGTGGATGGGTGGCGACCCTGGAGCGGCGGACGAGTCTGATGGCTGTAGCGACGCGATGAAGTTCCGTAGAACAAGTATTTGTGCATCGATGTGCGCTGTCGCATACTGAGCAGTCGTGAGCCTCAGCTCAGCGTCCAGAAGGTGCATCGAAAGCTTACCTGCAGCCATTGCAGTACATATCGCAGCCGGCGCATACTCTCGTCGCTGACAGCTGCGCTGATACCACCCGCCTCAAGCAGCATAGCCTGCCATCGGCTGCGCTGAGCGACCTGTTGATTCTCAGGCTGAGTGGTAGAAGAGGACCGACGCGACTGCTGAGGCGACGTAGTATTGTTGTCCCATGCAGACTGTCCGTCAGAATACGGGCGTGAGAATAGCTGCGAGTGCGGAGTCGGTGTACGACTATCCGCGCGCCTCGCCGCAGATGCCTGAGGACCTGCGACACAGCATCGTTCATCTGCTGGTCCAGCTCGACTGTGGAATGACGTACCATCTTCCCATCGACTGCAGCGCTCGTCTTCCCTGCTGTGACTTGGGCCTCTAGGCGCGGTAAGATCTCTCACATCCCATGACTCCGAGCTCCGACTTGATGCACTAGAGGGACTCCGCGAAACACGGTCGCGATCCCGACTAGGAGTCCTACGCGTATAATTTTCGATCTGACCAAAAGAGTTAGCATGGTACTGTTTCAGCAGGAGCAGGTCAATGAGAAGGAGAGCTAGCAATGAACAATCGGCCAATTGTGGTGAAAGAGCAGCTTATACGGAATGATAGATACGGAACAGAATGGAGAAGGACACTGGTAAAACATGATAAGCAGCGAGAAGCGGGGACAATGCCCGATCACACATGTCAATGGAACCTCCCTCTGAGGTAGATGTCAAGTAATAGAACACGAGGTTCAGTGCCCTCGGACGATAAGCAATCCACATAATCTGAACGTCGGGGGCACGAACATGGCACCTCCTGCAACGCTTAATAGAGTAATCAATGTACCCTCTACGATGCCCACGCTGCCAGCAAAGAAGAAAAGGATTGACACATAAGACGAGCACGTACCCTATCGAGCTGTCTGCACGCAAACTCGTCTAGCTGATTGACAGGAAGACGATCGATAACTGGACGAGAGATTGTCTTCACAGAGGACTCCATCATCCTCGCGCCATACTGTCGTGATGAATCCAGGTAAGTGCGATCCAGAGGATTGAGGAAGCAATCACATACCTTGACAACCCTAGAACTCGCTTTACTCTGCTCATACACGCGGATCGCGCTGTTCACGATAGGCACTTTAGACATGCGAGAGACAAAGTCCGCATCCTCGCTCTGGCGACCATCCGCGCGGCGATCGCTTCCAATTACGGGATCGAGCGCCCGATAGTCTCCATCCAGCGAGGGAGAAGGCAAAGATGGCGAGGAGCTCCCGGATGTCACGGAAAGAGCTGGGGTGGGCTGGAAAGCTGACGTGTGGCAGTGAGCAGTCGAATGAGCAGAGTGGCGAGCCCGACTTACACGTCGAGGGCGATACATGGCCGCCGTTCCTCATATCGCCGAGAGCGCGCACGGCGATACGCACTGACTCTTCCTCATCGAGGGCCATGATGAAGGGGTGTGGTACAGATGGCCCGAGCGTGGGCGAAGGTGTCGAGTTGTGGTCCTCCTGACCTGCACATGTGAATTCGAGCAATAGTGAAAGAGTAACACGTGGGTCGATCGTTCTCGCTCCGCCACAGGCCTAGGATGCCTTATTCTTATCTATTCTTTTTTTTCGTCCTCGAAACTGCAGGCGTTTCAGTAGCAATGCGTTTCTATGAGCTGTGAATGAATGTAAAATTGACTACACGCAACATACAATATTTTTGTCAACGTGTACCACGTCGACGGGCAACAGTCACATAGGAATATAACGTATAATACGCGAACCTCACCGAGCATCGCGAAGTAAGTAAAGAACGGACATATTCTACCACGTATACGACGAATCAGAAGGAAAATGTCCTCAAAGATAGTTTCAATAATGCGGACCATGGAGTCCTGTTAATCTCGTTTGGATGTCTCGGGAGGAGCGACGGGCCACACACTGTCCTTGCTAGAGGTATTCCCCGAACGTCCGAGAGGCACAGCCACAGCCTGGCTCGAAGACTGCTGCGGCTTCTTCTCTTGCTGCTGCTGCTGTCCTTGAGGTGCTGGCGAAGGCGGATGAGGGGAAGCCTGACCGTGCTTCTGACCAGCGCGCATCTCCTCCATCCCTCTCTTCACGCCCGCCATCATGCGGTCCGTTTTCTCGAGCATCTCCTCCAGCCTCCTCCGCTGTTCGCCCAGCTCGTAGTAGTGACGCTCCAGCTCCACAACCGTCGGCACGGCGGCATGTTGCGCGGCAACTGCTGCGTTCGGCGGAGGTGTACGAGGATTGTATGCACCGTGGACGTGGTGATTCATGACCGCGTGTGGAGGGTGAGGCGCGCCGTGCGCAAGCGGTGGCAGAACGTATCCTCCTGAAGTGCCAGCTGCAGCTACCCCGGGTCCGGCCAACGGCGAGTGCGTCCTGCTCGGAGGAGCGCCCGAACCTTGCGACGCCGAGCGAGGGTAGACAGGGTGAGCGACGCCCATTATTGACATCGCCGAGGCGATGGAGACATCCCCTCCACCATGGATAGCAGCATTCAGAGGCGGCAGGTCGAATCCGCCATGAGGATGAGGTCCGAACGGATTACCGCGAGGTGCTCCAGCACCGAACCTGTTGTCAAGCTCCTGGCCTATTGATCACTGTTGTCAGCGCTTACTCAGTTGTTCATGTGCTGATGACGCTTACCAGCATGTGAAGATGGCACTGCCTCGTTAACAGCCTGCGAGTGCATCCCCTCCCCCCATGGCATCCCCGCTGCGCCGGAGTCATGCGAGCTACCGCGACCGCCACCGCCACCGCCGCCATGGTGGGCTCGCCGCTGCTTTCGCGAACCGCTGGCCTTTCCTTCCTCGTCATCGGCCTCATCATCGTCCACATCCATGCCTTCCTCCCCTTCCCGCTGCACTTTTGGAGCACGAGCCTTGCGCGCTCGTTTCCGTCTTGGCTGATCTTCCTCACTCTCCTCTTGGGGCCCTGAGCTACCACCCGACCCCGCGTGACCGCGCACGCTGGCAAGCACCTCGGCAGCGGCTTGATCAGTCATGCGATCTTGCTGAGTAGGCGAACTAGGGACTCCAGTTGCAGCAGGGACACGTTTGCGCCGTTTGATAACGGTCTTCTTCATAGAGTTGGGGCGATGAGTGCCGTGCAATTTGAAGTACAACCCTGTGCGCGTGCAATGACACGGGGCAAAAGTGCGGCAGTTAGCGATGATGAAAAGCCGAAAACAAGGCAGAACGAGTGCAAAATCAGAAAATCCCCCAAATGATGGGGATTAGGACGAGAGAAGGTAGAGGTAAGCACCAAGCCATCGATAGGCCGGCCGGTGAGCTGTCACTGCATTCCTCCCCGCATGCAATACAACGGACATTAACCAGAAAAGTCGCGTCCCAGCACCATGGTACGCGTTAGAACATCCCGACAAGCAGCATCTCCCCGCAGATAACATTCCTCACTGGTGGGTCCGACGCCAAATAGCGGCAAAACGGCCCAGAATCCAGACTGAGAAGCAGCAGCGACTGTTATCTGATAAGATGGCATGGCCTATCGCAGGGATGATCGAGTTGTGATAAGATGGCTAATCGCCACATCCGCCCAATAACATATATCCACCACGTGAACATGGTTCGCTGAAACACTCGGGTCTCAAGTATGCTGAGAAGACGAGCCAATGCATATCCGCAACGACAGGAGGTCCCCAACAATCCAGTGTAGTGTGTCACGAAGAGGAAGAGGGAAGAGGGAGATGAACGTGACAAAGACGTACCACACGCGTTGCAAATGTTATTTCCCACATCATCTCGTCTCCATAAAGGCGTCGTACTCGTCCCGCAATTAGCGCAGCATAGTGCTCCCACGGCAGTACGCATTCTAGGCCGACCGTTTGCCGATGCCCCAGCTTGAAGGCCCATGGCGGACACCGACTCAGCGGGCTGTTCAACGGTCCCGGATTCCGTGCCACGGGTCAGCTCAGGCAATGCCGGAGCGGGGGCAGCTTTGGAGGGAGCACTAGGTGCTTGACCACTACCGAGCAAGTGTACCGACGATAGAGCATTGTTGTACGTGGGGCAGCCAGAACATGCAGTGGTGCCTCCCGTGCCGTCACAACGTCCGTCGCCTGGGCATGTTCCGGAAAGGTGTACATGCGGCTTCGACAATTGCGCTTGATTTGGCGCATTAGACTTGGCCTGTTCGCAAGGAGGGTGAGCCGAAGCCGACGCTTGGCTTAGGTTCTGGACCGTAGGAAGTGGCGACGCAGCAGGCGTCGGCATCGTTGCCAGTGGGTGAGAGGCGTTGGAAAGCTGATCTTGAGAAGGTAGGGGTGTTCGGGACTGTGATTTGTAGGGCGGCTTCGAGCCGTCAATGTTGGAAGTAGCAACGGGATCAGAGTCCGGGTGGGTGGCTGAGGGGACTGTAGATGACCGTCTGAGAGTGACGGGACGAGATGAGCCGTGGGCCTTGTAATAGAGGCCTGTAGCGTCGTACCCGAGACGATAATATCGTGCCAACGGAGACGCCACGAGAAGATGTGCAGGCAAATCAGCCGCCGAAGATGGGTGGGGAAGATGGGCATAATAGGGAGAAACGGCCATCAGCAAACGTGTCCGGATGATTTGGAGCAGGGTGATAGACAGGTCAGCGTGTCCGATGCGGTATGCTTTATTGACTATACGCTATCCTCGCAATAGACATGCGTCACGGGCGAGGACCTGATATGATAACTTCCGGAGAAGCATCTAGTCTTCGAACGCCCTCCCACACGTGCCATTGCGAGGATCTCGATAGAGCGATTCACTCTGACGCTATCTGACGCGACGAAGACCGGAAGGAGATAGATGAAGAAGAAGACGACACTAACCACATGCATTGCACACTGTTTTGCCATCTCCGTCTCTCCGCCAGAGGGGTGTATCCCCTGCACCACAATTCGCGCAGGTGTTGGGACGAGTCGGAGCTTCGCTGACAGGAACACCTTGCGTGAGTGCAGGATCAATATTGTCCATATGACGGTCCCGGAAAGCGGAGTCAATAGAGTAAGGAGAAGCAGCGCCATTCCCATTCCGAGGTTGGAATGAGGAGCGTGAAGGAGAAGGCGGTGCAGACGGCTCTTGGTCGTGCGTTGAATGATCGGAGGCAGGAGGAGTGTGTATGTGTCCCATGAACTGCATCCTAGACACGGGCGAGAGGGCAGGAGAGTGCATGTCCAAGGCCGGTGACTCCAAAACAACGGGGCCAGGCATTATCCTTTGCTTTGACAGTGAAAGGAGCGCGTTCGGCGGGATATACGCGCTTTGTCAGACGGTTGGGATGCCCGAATGGAGGCAGAGTGATGCTGAGAGGAGTTGTGCACGTCGAGGTCGCGGAAGGAGGGCACGACCGCGGAAAACAAGACGTTGATCTCGAGGAGTGTTGAGAGGGGAACAAGTGTTCAGAGTCGAAGGAGTCTAAGAAAGATATAGAGCCAGGTAAACATGTCCGTTCCCTCCGACCAATCGCGTGCCTCACATTACGCTAACGCCCGGCAATCACACCCACGGATTAGATAATCGTTATCTGTAAATGGCATCCGTCACGTCCCCCCCACTGTCCGTCGCTCTATTTTCCAAAAAAAATACAGCTTTTGTCCTATGACTCGGGCGAAGGAGTGCGCGACCTCTACTCTGCGTATTGAGACCGTCGTCCGGCGCGAAGGGGCACAGACTGCTCGGCAGCAAACACGCGTCGCCATCGCCGCACTACCATATCGTGACTGTCATCTTATCTATCCGCTGGTATTTCCGTTTCACCTTTTACGGCATCGCTGAGCGTCTGGACCAGGCCCCAGGCCCGCGGTCACCGCTAAATGGCAGTACGTGGCGAGTGAGGAGTGGTCCAAATTCCGTACTGTCTACTGGCAACTCACTCTTTCAATGTTCTTGGTTGGCGGCGAATGAGAGGGGAATGCATGCGGGAGCCGGGGCGCCTTTCAGCGCGGGAGAGTTCCCTTTCTTGAGAAGCGCGCTGTCAAAATAGCTCTCGCATCATTCTTATGGCTTGGGCCGTATGAAGACGCTCCAGGGAATGGTGTCGTTGGGAAGGTGATGAATGCTCGGAAGAATTTTGATAAGATATGGGAGCACCTTGCCGAAGCTAGCTTCAGGTCATTGAAACGTGCTGCTTGGCTAATGAACGGAAGACTATGCGTGTGACATCAGGCTGAGCGGCTTTCGTTGCAGTGCTCTTCATATGTGACGGTCTGCAATGACGAAGGTAATGAAATCACCAAGCTCTAGCAGCGTAAAAATCGCTCTCCCAAGGCGAGCGTGACGCTCACTTACGACATTCGGATGAAGATCCGGACGCCGTCTTTCAACTGACACATGAATCGCATAGATGAACAGGAGGACCTGGCCAGTCTCCATCTTCGAACGGACATACAATGAGAACCCGGCCACAGTGGTAGTGATTGCTGCCTTACGAGCCTCCAATTCAAAGGTTGTTCCATATCGCGACATCAGGAGCAACCAGCGCGAACTTACGCGGGTACATCTAAATCTGCCGCAATCCGATGTCGCTTCGCCACAGGGCAGATAGCCGCACGTGGTGGACGCCCGCCGATTATCGATGCAATAGAGTGCAGGATGGTAATTTCAATCGCCTATTATGACATTCGCCTCATCGCAGCGCGTTCTGGCCACCATGCGTAAGCGGAAGAGCGGAAAAATGGACGGCATACCAGTTGGCAATTGGACGCTACGATGCGCATGGTACAGGCGGACTCCCATGCCCGGCATTGAGACGGTAGTGCATTCTCACATTTCTGGGAACGTCCAGCATATCACCGAGACAACGAACGTCAGAACCCTGAAGCCTGTCTGCACAGAAGCGTCGGCAGAGTCCGACAGTCAGGCTGCGATGGACGGAGGAGTTATCAGATATGACGGCCTACTCAGAAGCTTAGATAACAGGAGGCCGATGAATACGGAGGCCAGCTGATGACTTCGTTCTTCGAGCATCGTGGCGGCCGATGGACCCTTTGGGAACTGAGAACGCGATGGTAGAGGCCCAGACAGCAGTTCGTCTTCACCCCAATTCGCGGTCAGTGTGTCTTCCCGTGCATCCCTGCGGTATCTGACGCGTCCGACGTCGCACGAACATTGGAGGACACGACGATCGGCGTCCCTCGCAGAGTTGAGCTTCAAGGTTCATGGGAACAATAGCATTTAAGGTCTGCGGAGCCGTTAATCCAGGCCAGAAGACAATAATACTTAGATGAATGTCTGACTCACCACCGTTCGCCGTCACGTGCAGACGCGTCGCGACGCGTAGATTGAGCGGTGTGACCGTTCGCTTGAGCGCGCCGCGGATTATCTTCCCATCTCCGACCGACCATGAGCCTACCAGCGTTGCCCAATTCCTTGCTCCTTCTGACCCATCTGCATTTGCTCAATTTCCCACCGCAAGATGCGTCCAGATATGACGAACATCTATTTCACCCCACGCGTTCTGGCATCCGAGAACGCACCCGAGCAATGGAGGAAATTTGTTATTTCCTTGTAGGTAAGATTGAAGGCGGGAAGCCACACGCTAGATCAGTATGTCGAAAGCGTACCTATCTTTGTGTCCCCGTGCGACGAACGCGTGATCACAGATATTACCGATGTACCCGTGTCTGAAGCCCTCGGATACCACTGCATTCAGAATATCACTCTCGAAGTATCTCGAGGCGCTCAGGCATACTAGCATTCACCCGAACCATCCAACACATGAAGACAAAGCAGCACGTGAAGCTGATAAGACACGGACGCAGATCGCTTCTGCAGCCTGGTGGTGGAGGGACGTCGTGGTCCGCAAGAGCCTGTTGGAGGAATGCTCTGGCGCGCGGTGCGTGCCGCTCATACATGTGTGGGCTCATTCAACGAAGGAGATTGATCTTCGCGATACAGCTTTGAACGGCTGATCCTGGCCCTTTCCACACATGCTCTCATGCAATACAACGGTCGCTCGGCGTTCTCTTCATCGCCGCCGGAGATGGATAAGGCCAGGCTAACGGTAGTCGTCCTGGGAAGCACACGAATTTGTCTACGCCGCTGATTACTTCTAGGAAGCACTGGACAATGTACCTGGGGACTACACCGTTCTTCTAGAGTCCGCTCAAGCCGCCCGCCGTGTCTGGGAACGCCATGCGGCCATGCTCATTCGCCGGCAAGAAGAATTAAAAATCTTACGCGTGAGCACCTCCGCCCTTTCGCTGGGGTTCCACTTGCTCTAACCCGATCATTAGAGGCGCATTCTTGACCCTGCTGCCACACACTCATCAAAATATGACAGTCTCTCGACAGACCGACTGATCGGACTACGTGATTCAAGACAGCACGACCTTCTCCGCAAATATTGGAAGCACGACGGCGGGCGCCGCGCTTTGCACCTCCTAACCGATATCGCTGGCGTGCAGAGTGGGCCCATTACCATTGGGCCATGCGTACCCCCTCCATCTGATGCCGCTGCAGCCGGAACACAGCGGGAGAAGGTGCGGTGTGCCGTCCTTCTCCCCGTCCCAGCTGACATGATGTGCTGTATAACCGGTCACGGTGCAGGCACGTCCGGCTCCTCTTCCCATCGCAGCCGCTCACCATCCTGCACACCTTGAGGCGCTGGGTGCACGGCTTCTGCCAGCGCCCGCTACGTCTCGTCCGTCCGACTCAGATAATCAGCCAATCTCACATGATGCACAACCTCAGAATCCAGTTCTAGCCGACCGAATAGACGCCATAATGCGCACACGACAGGCATTGCAGGATGCTCTAACGAGGGCAGAGCTCGTCCGACAGGACCTCAAGAAGCGCATGCAGTATTTGCAGGCAGCCCTAGGCACTCGCCAAGCGTCAGAAGAAGAAAATACACTTCCATTCAGTCTATGGGAGCCCTGCGCACGCGAGCCGGTCTCATTTGACGTGAACTGCCACCACACCTTCCATGAATTGGAGTGACACTGATACAGATTAATTACAGACCTGTCCTTCGATGGAATTGCTGAGAACGTTCTCTCTCCCTGAGCCTCGATTTACCTCTGCAATCGAAGAGCGAATTGCACATATTCGCACGTCTATGCTGCCTGCCTTCCCACCAGAACAGAGGCCGTCCTCGACCGTCTCTCCGCCAATAGCAAGTGCGGCATCTGTTAGCCGGCTGCCCCAGCCTTCCGAAAAGGGGAAATCAGACGTCGCGGCGCAAGATCTCGACGGCAGAGGAACGGCGCAAGGTCGATCAAAAGCTACAAGCGTGGAGAACTTGTGTAGTGCTATGGCGTCCCAGGTCCAGGTCACCAGCAGGATAAATGCACGTCTAACTAGTCAAACGATGACTGGTAACAGTCAGTCTAGGAGAGCAACTCGCCTGATATCCACTGCCAAGAACCAAGGACTAGATGATGAGGTCAATAGGGTGAATTCTTCGCTCGCTTTCATGCCGGATCGCTTACTTCAACGATCCCCCGTTGCCACACAGATCCTCGACACGTTCATCGACGGTTCACCAAACTGTGGAGAACAGCCCGCACAAGCCACACAACAGAAAGCAGCGACCGCTGATCTACGCGGCGAAAAACAACTTGCTACCCATAGAAGGCATTCACCACTATCTTGGTAGCGCTGCACCCGACGGGGAACTGCAGAGAAAGCCTTAGCTGCAACCGGAACACATGGCACCTCGAACGAGAACTATGAGGGACGCAGCAACACCTTGAAAGGAGCTCTCTTACAGGGAGGGGATCTCTCTCAACTCAATCTGCTCGCGCAGGAAGACGCCACGGTAGACCGTGAAACATATGAATGGAGGTGACGCACCGCCGGTGTACAAGGCTTGTTACCTTTACGTGTACAGCGTCCGTCAAATCACGTTGCTACCACGCATTACTGAAACACCCGCATCTCAACCTTGGATATTGATAATTTGATATGGCTCGCAAAATGAAGCACACTCAATCGGCAACTGGCAGTACTATGTCTGGCATGCGCGCACAGCGATTTCGTGTATACATACGGCTTATGTATTTTGCGCGTACGGTACGAGGACAGCATGCTCGTGCGGGTGTGTGATAGGCAGAACATAACGGATGCGAAGTGAGAAAAGGCCGGCCACTCGAAGATAACAAGATATAGTTTATGCTTCGGATGTTTTGGGCTTGGTCCTCTTCACAGCGGTGGTGTTCTCTCTGCAAATCACAGGAGTTCGATCAACCCCGACGACCGCAATGAAGACATAATCATCGCACCTGAAACCATTCTTGAAACGCCTCGACACATGCTTGAGGTAACGCATGCGGCCAGTACCGGTCGTCTTTCGGCGCTTGGCCTTCTGACCCCACTCGTACGACCGCAGTTTTGCGCGAGGGTAACCGCACTGTGCACACTCTACGAGGCGTTGTAAGCGGTCGGTTTCAATGAACGGAAGTGAAGATGCGCGGCGTGCTGAAGGGAGCATGGGGGACCAACCAGACTGTCGTATTACATACCCTTGTGTTGCTTGTGGAAGGCGCGGTTCCCACACCGCCTGCAGAGTGTGTGGCTCTTCGTGTGCCGCTTACTGTGGGCGTCGAGAACGACCTTCAGCAAGGCACGCCTAAGGAGGAATAGGGTATCATTACGCACCCGAAAGACGTGGTACCTATAGACCATCAGACCCGAGCGCAATCAGTGAAGTCCCTCGCGACCGCACCACCACCAAAATGCACGAACCTTTCGTCTGTGAGTAGACAGAGCAATCAGCACTTCAGCAGCTGGACATTTTAGCGAGCAGGGCAAAGGGATCGGCTCATCCAACCAAGACCAAATCAATCCAGCCTTTCTCCTGCACCAATCGCTCCGTGCCACCACACAACCCAGCCAGACACGCCAGGCATCCCTAAGCCCTGCATACTGGCATGAACACTCACCATCTTGCCTTGAGGATTTTGAAAATACCGGCGGGTGTCGTAGGTTCCGCCACTACTTGGCCAACTGAACCTGTGGGAACTTCGCCACGTGCGAGCCTCCCGATCCGTAACAGGCCACCGCCACTTCTCCGCCTACCCCGGTATACAACTAACAAACAAACTAAACACATGTATCAAGGCGTTTATCTTTCGAATGCGTCCCTTCTCTTCATTTGAACGATATCTTCGTAGCGTGAAGTGGATCAAATCCGCAAGGCTATGATAGAAGAAGAAGGAAAGACGGAATCCGAGGTGGCGACAGCAGAGGCAACCAGCGCCACACAAACCGCTGGCCAGCTCGAGGATCTGACGTTGCAGCAAGCGATCATCACGGGCGTTCCAGTGCCCATGAAGGGCGTCGATTCGTTCGTCGACCATGTGAATGGATTTTGCTTTATTCGCTTGTAAAAGTCGATGTCTAATTTGTTGACCTTCCATGAGCCTCCAGCCTTAACAGAGTGCCGAGACTTCTTCCAAGGGACTTCACGTACTCTCGACAAAGTGCGAATGAATTTCAAGGACTCTTTGGAGGTTGTAGACGAACGTCGTGGCTTGCAGTTCCTCAATATCCTTCGATCGTTGTTGCAACTTGACAACGCAGTGCCTCAAGTGCTGGCGGAAGCACTGTGGACCGATCCCGATCAGCGGCATCGTGAACATCCATGGCCTGCGCGCTCTAATGTAGACCTCAATCGCCTTCTAGATGAAGGCGATATCGCTACATTCGCATTGAATGCCTGTCGCCAACGTGAGTCGAGAAAGCATGCTTTGCCGCGACCGGATGCTTATGAGGTTCACTCTTGCTTCATACACTCAGCGTCACCTCCAAGGGATACGATAGTCGAATCGGAGTATGCTGATATCTAGTAACGGTCCCTTCAAGGCTTCGCTGACCGTGCTTCACTCAGGCTTGAGCAACGACAACGACTGCACCGTGCATTTCATGGGACATACAGAAGTGACGCATTGGGTTGATTCAAGGAGCAGCTACATCGCTGCCGAGAACATTACGACGCAAGCAAGCACTACGGCCATTGTATTGCTCTGTTGCAATCTAGTGGCACAGGTAAATCGAGACTGGTGTCCGAACTTTCTCGTGACGTGAGTGGATGCCACGGTATTGCAAAGCACACAAGTGACGTTAATCGTGTTGCAGCATCCCACCATCAGCGTGTATTTGCTTCAAGAGAACCACCTTGAGGACGGATGGCCACCTGTTGATTTGTTTGTTTATGATTTTTTCAAGGAGCGACGTTCAGCGAGCTACATGATCCGTCACATATCAATCAGTTCATGATTCATAGCCTGACATCATATCAGGGAGAGGAGCTTTCGGCCGCGTTTCTGGGTGCCTTGTTTAAGCAGGTGGCTGTGAGTATCGAGAGTTCAATTGGTGACCAGTTGCGCGACCTCATGGCGTCCTGGACCTCCCTTTCGATAACGTTGATGATTACTCTCGGCCATCTCGTTTCGAGAATTTTGCTGCGGTGAAAGCGAGTGCCTCAGCTTTGCTTCAGGAGAACTCAAACGAACTTGTAGCACTGCGCCCAAAGCCCACGACCGAAGAAAAAGTCCAGGATATAGCTGGTTGGCATCGACGTGTCTATGCACAGCTATGCAAAGCCGCCGCGGATGGTCTTCGAGAGGCTTTCAGGAAGCAGCTTGGTCCGAGGTTCACGTATTTCATCGTGGCTATTGATGAATGTACCCTCCTCGGGGCGACTCCGATGAAGTCTAATGACGAGATCGATCGCGGCTCCACAGAGAGGATGTCGCTGATAGCCATGCAGAGGATCATGAAAGCCGCGGACGAGTTCCATGAGGAGTTCTGGTTCGTGCTCCTGGATACGACCTCCGCGGTCTTCGATCTCGTTCCGCCCACAGGCGCTTTAGCTCCCTCGTTCCGCCTTGATGGCAAGTTGCGTCCTCTTCTTCCTTGGGGATACTTCGGCTTTGACCAAATGGTGAAGGGCGACATCGAGCAGAATGGTGTCCCGACATTGATGGCGGCTTTGACGCTCAATCGTCTCAAGATGTATGGTCGTCCGGTGAATGCTGTTTCACCTGCTGGGATCATTTTGTGCGATGTACTGATGAATCTCAACGTGTTCCATTTTGATATCTTCAGCATTGGTCAACACTCTCCGAAAGCTCACTGATCCGTCACGCGACAAGGAAGCTTCTTAACTCTGACACGTTCAAGCCTCGAGATGAGTTATCCGTTCTGGCCGTGTTCGCTGCTCGGATTCGAGTGGAGATTGCGGAAGGCCCCGCATCGTCTCGCTTGACGATCAACAGTGTGCGCAGTCATATGCGCCTCTTTGTATCCATCGTCGATCGCCACACAGTTGAGACCTGCAGCCCCTCGGAACCAATTCTCGCCCTCGCTGCAGCGCATACACTGAATTTTTCTCGCGATATCTATACGGAGGCGATCCAGACGTTCATCAACGAGCTTGTTCTGAAAGGTCTTGTACAGGACAGGGGTTCCACGGGCGAACTTGTATCGCGTTTTCTACTAACTATGACCCGCGATGCGACGACTGAGAGATACGTTGTGCTCTCCGATAGCACGCCATCCACGTCTATGCTAGCGACCGTGAAGGTCACGGATTTCCTGACCACGATGATCGGCGAAGACATAAAGAACGCAGACGGCTTCCAGACACTCGAGAATTTCGGAGACAATGCGCACATCAATTTACACATTTTATTCAGCTACCCGAAGTCATTGAGGACGTCACCACCGAGTTACTGTACTACCTTTGGTGCCGCACTGCTGCTGTTCAGTGCGCTATGAACCAACCAGTGATCGATGGCTTTATCGTGGTGTATTGCGGTAACTTGAATGAGCCCTTTGATCCGATGAAACTGAGTTACATCGCGTGGAAGACGATGGCCAAAGACGAGGCAGCATCCTACGAGCTTGCGAACACATTGACTGGACCCAGCGTAATACATGTTCGCCACAAACCCGGCCACATTGTGATCCTCATGGATCTCGCAGCGCTAACCGGATTCCAGGTGCATTTTGAGTTCCGCTTGTCGCATGCTGAGGCGACCGTGCCGTCGGGAGGCAAACGGTGGGGAGGGTATATAGAACAAGAGCCAAAGCATTTCTGCCTAAACACACGCGGTCACGACTACGCTGTCCTGAGGCTCTACGATCAGACAATACGAGGGAACAATGCGAAAGAGTCGTACCTCACGCCGCTGTTCAAGCGCACGTTGGCCGGAAGGGATGACCAGTCTGGTATCTGCGTGCGACAAGCCATCGATGGCGTCTGCAACCTGTTTGACAAGGAATCTATCGGCAACGTGTACCAGTCGGGGAAGATTCGGTGAGACGACTCACCGGTCTGCCATGTTTCTTTGCTATACGCAACGTGATGGGGTGGCAATACTTTTCCACGACGCGATAGAGTAAATGCCTGTGCTTTGGATTTTCCTCAATCTGTCATGTTCGATCAAATCTCCCGAATGTATGCGCTTGTAAGCACTTTTGAGTTGTCTCGGTGCTTGGAAACCAGTACGAGATATGAGCGCGATGCAGCTGTCGTCATGATTGAGTTAGCTGTTCCTATTGTCCTGGTCTCTGGCCATGGTATGTGTCAGGACTACAGTGAGTTTGTTTGAAACAGCTTGCTATGTTTGACGAGAAAACTGGTTTTCATTGGGTTTTCGTGGGGTTTTCATGATCATGCTCTGCTACTGCAAGACTCTCCACTGCATGATGATGGAGAAACAGGACAGAAGATTTTCAACATATAGTGAGAACAAATATCAAGGCCAATTGTCATGAAAAAAAACTACCCACGATTCCTTCCAAAGATGAGGCGCAAGATATCCAGTACTCCGCGTTTGACCCTAAGAGCCCTACTAGTAGGGATCGGATGACCGTAGTACGGAGTTACATAAGCGCTTCTTAATCTCCGAAACGCGTCGATTGGCGGGATGACACGCCGGTGGCTGAGAAGTGTGGTGGCTGAGGCTCATTGTAGCATATTGAACATGCCCTTCTGTCTCTGATAGCCAACTTGTACCTCTATTCTTGGTCTCATAGACATCACTACTACACAGTTTTAAATTTCACAGAGCTGTTGTACATATTCATGGATTGGACTTGGACATTACAGGCATGCCCGATGCTGTCAAAACGGTGTGGCACGTGATCGAAAGTGCGTACTACGGGTCGAAGGGCACATTTTGAAGCAGACCTTAATATCGCCTGTCGTCGCTCCCTCAGAAAAGGCGATTTTATAGGTCTGCCTAGGGGAGACAAGCTCCTCCCTGAGTTTGGCTTCAATCGAGACACTGGCGGGCGCATGCTTTGAAATTTGAAGTCCCACGAACGCCGGCACTTGGGCACAGGCTCATGTTAGTAGGGCAGTGACTTTCCCTCCTGTACCACGCGTCAAACCCTGTCAAACCGCGATGTCCTTCAACGCGCGCCTGAGCGACGCCTATCCCAACAGGCGCAGGTGGCGGCCCGCTAAAATTCGTTCAAACCCAAGTTCTGTCGTACCCGCAAATGGCCCTGTTGCCAGCTCCTCCAGAGCCATCCCGGAAGACGTCCAGCCGAACGAATCCATCAACAAGCGGAGGGTGCAGCAACCCCCTTTAATCCGGACGTCGAATCCGCCGTCGCGCGGGAGAGGCTATTACAACGGGAGTGGGCGTCCAAAGCCCCTCTTTAATCATCGCCGTAGGGGTCCTGGCAAGCGGCACAGTTCATTCGGTGAGAATGTGCGAGACTCATTTGGTGCGCCTCAAGCAGGCTTGAGTTGTCCAGGGCCATCTATCAGGACATCTGGCAGTGATCTCATGTCTGGAAACGCGTTTGAACATCGACGTCAGAATGAAAAGGACATGGTGTAGGTGTAGCACATAAAACCCTTTGTATGTCTACGTGCTGACACGCACTCAGATCCACTTCACTAAAGGGAGACCGGACACATCCAAATGTCGTGCACTCAACTCTAGATACATCGTCGAACGGCAATGAAGTGCAGCAGGATGAACCTGATATCTGGACTTCACTTTCACGTCAGAAAAGGCCGCGGGAATCCTCTCCGTCATCTTCGTCATCCATATCCATATACCCGCCTCTGCAAAAGCGCAGACTCTCATCGCCGCTGCTTATCGAAGCACTCGAGGAAACTATTACGCTATCTGCTGTCGTTGGCGACAAATCCAGACCGACTTCTCCACCCCTTCTGTCAGTGTCTGCCCTCCCATCCGTCCTTCGCTCCGGAGACACTCAACCTGGACATCAACATCCCTCTTCGTCCATACCCTTCAGCCGCGCCTCCGATCCGGTCTCCGAAGCATCCGTCAAAGCCGAGCGCAGTCCCAGTCCTTCCCTCAAAGCTACCGGTCCACCCGCGCCTCGAGCCCTCACCTCTGGCTCACTCCTTTATGCTCCCCTCCCTCTCAACTGCCGCGCATACTCTCCAAACTACCGCGCGCACCGCCGGGAGTGGATCGTCTGCGAGCAGAAACGTGTCAAGTCGCTTAATGCGGGCATCAAGATTGTCAGGGCGTTTACGAGGTGTGGATTCGTTCATTTGCACAAGGCAATTGAATTAACATATCCTATGATCTTCTAGGGATGATGGAATGGTAATCGACTGGTGCGTCCATTGCCATGCCTAATACTACATATGGCAGTCTATCAAACGATTGGCTTATCGCCCGTAGGAAGAGCCGTGTTCCAATAATGTCCGACGTCATACAATCCCTACCTCACACTCAAGACGCTCGTGTTTCTTCAACCACTTCCATCCAACCCGACTGTCGACACTCAGAAGACGCTCAGATTATCAACGTCGATGCGAATGAAGCGGCAGTGCATTCCCCATCTTCCGCAGGGCAGGAACGCCATTTAACTGTATCAGCCTCGATGCCCGGAAATGCTACTGATGTACCTTCGCATAAAGGGCCACCCGTTGCAACTTCGCGAGTTCATGCCGAGCCAGTTGCTTTACCCCGCTCGAAGCCGACCAAACCCCCTCCCCGCGTCAACGGTGGACAGCCCAATGGCCCAAGTCTCTCATCTACCTCGTCATCCTCGAACTTGCCCCTCGCTGCGTTTTCAGCTCATGGAGAGCTAGGCTCGTCCAATTCGACAAGCACTGCTGGCATACACAGGCTAAATAGTACCGTTGAGTCCCAACAATCCACGAAAAACTTTCGCAACTCAACTTCCTTGGCCCATATATTGCCGCGGTCGAAGCCACTGGCGTCTCCCCACGGAATTAATGGTAGTACAGCGAGTGGCCCAGTACAGACGTCGTCTATGATGACCACCACCATTTATAACAAGAATGGCTCACGACCGTCTCACCAATCTGATGCGAATGCCGTTCGAAGTTCAGCAGAGGACTTACAGAATGCACGAGCGGTTCAGTCTGAGGATTCACCTGCGCGAAGTGTCGCGACGGTTGAACCGGCAGCGAGCGGGCAGTACAAAACCTGTAAGCCAGCTTCAAGTGCGACGTTGGAGCGGCCAGATATATCCGCAATCTCCCCCTCAATGCCGCTTCCGCTCCCGCGGAGGATACGTACGAACAGAACGAGCGATAAACACCTCGAGCACGCCCGAGACCAGGCCCCGCCACAAGAGACTCACGCACTGTCTTCAAAACCGAATGCACCTACTGTAGACGATTCGCAGAATACAGCGGACGAGGTTCAAGAGCTGGAAGAGGCCGCTCTCGAGTTCCTGCAGAAGTACGTTCACAAATTCCTCTCGCGCCTGCATTCAGAGCTTACGTCGTGCTCTTCCATCACAGGCACATCCGCGCGTTCGATTCAGACCGCTCTTCGCTCGCCAGCGCTTATTCACGCCTTGCCACATTCTCCGTACAAACGCAGCATCCACCCGATGCCCCAAGCGCGACTCTGCTCCCGAGATCGCATACCAAGCTGCCACACCCACGCGGACCGACCGAAAAGTTGAAGCAGGGCCGTCTCGACATCATTGCCGAGCTTCTCTCCCTCCCGGACGACCGCCATTTCTGCGTGGGCCGCCAGGCCAGCATCGATTACGACGTTACATGCCTGGAGAGCACAGTAGGCGTGCTGCTTGTGTGCTATTCGGAGAATGAGGGCGGTTGGGCGTGCGACCAGCGGTTTGTGCTAAGGAGAAAGGAGTGGGATAAGGAAGATGGGTGCGTTCCTGCTGTATGATATCGTGGCGCCCTGGACGAGCTGATTCGGTGCATAGGTCGACCGAGGGGCTGTGGCCGCTCATTGCTGTGTGTCATCAAATGACATTCCGGGAGAAGGCTTCGAGGTGATCCGTGTCAAATTGCAAATAGCGCACTTTATAACATTATGATGCCGATCTGTAAGGTTGTTTATCGAGATGTCTATTGTCGCATTATGATACTTTCTGGTCAGATCATCATCGTACATCATATGCTATGTACCACACCCATCTACCGCTAGCATCACTATATCAGCACCGCTTGCTTACATTGCTCGCCTTTTGTTCTCTCAAGCGCGAATGCAACACAAGCCAGCGAGGAGAATCTCCAACTCGATATAAATTGTACATGCTTAGTAAAACAAGAAATGGGGGCAATCATTAGGTGGATTTCCAGGCAGAACCCGAGGGTACATGTATGGAGACAAAAGAGCTCAACGAGTGTGGTCCACCGGGCATTCAAACGCACGGTGCTGCATATCCTCGACTACATCTGCAGTATGGGGGCATACGTGAAGAAGGGGGGATTGGAGAAAACGATAGAGACTAACGTCGTTTATTTGCTTACACTCACTACTTCTAAATCAACCGCACACCACCTCCACTCAAACCGCAGAAGCCAAGCCAAGCCCAGAATCGAGAGACGGGAGAAACAGCAGAGAAAGACACAACGAGCCCTCGTCCACGTAGCCTCAAGAGCTGGAGGACAGCCGGCTAACGACAAGCGCGAGCGCGAGGATGACGCCCCACCGCCACTTCTCCCAGATAATCTGCCGCCATGCTTCAGACCATCCTGGCGGGTTCGCATTCGGCTCGCCGGCGCCCGCTGCGGCCGTAGGTCTGCTCCCTAAGGCATTAGGGTCTGTCGTAGTGGAGCTAGTGGGAAGCAGGGAGGACGCGGGCGCCGTTGTTGAGGGAACAAGGGAAGGGGTGCCGGGAGCCGTTGAGGATGGCTGAGGAGTGCGCCCGCATTCCTTCTCGCCCATGTTCGGCAAGTCGCGAAGAGTCGGAGTGCAATGCTGGGTGAATATATCAGTACACATGAAAAACCCGCTATAGATATATAGCCATATCACAATCCCGTTTCCCATGATCACCGGGCAGTGCTACGCCTGAAGGGCGCCTAAGCGATGCGGCGATTGCAAAACCTCCGGGCTCAAAATAAGGCGAAAGAGCGGCCGCAGCAGGATATGCAGGTCTTACGCGCAGATAAATCTTACTGACCTCAGGGAACGCATCCTTAAATCTCCGCTGGCTCACATTCCACGAGTGGCTCCGCGCGGCATACAGGCGCTTATCTGCGTCCGTGGTAGTAACAGACCCCGTGGTCATCTCGTCTGAGAGCATGAAAGACAACAGCCCAGTCAATCTATCAAAGATAAAGGTCAGTCTGCGATCAATGTATCACCGGGCCAAAGCGGGCACGCACATTGTTGAAACGCTCCAGGCGGGGTTCCACTAGGTTGAGACCGGAAATGTAAGCAATGCCACCCAAGACTACGGTGAAAAACTCTTACAGTTCCCGGGTGGAAGTCAGACATGGAGAAGCAGATCTTCTTATCCGGTTGGAATCGACCCGAGGGCGTCAGCATCTGCAATAAAGGCGGCGGTTGATCTCCATGGATCCCGTCAGTAATGCACAGCAACGTACCTTGATGCCTGGCGGCTTGAACGGATACTCAGATGGGAAGAGAAGGACACCATGGTATTCGCCACCGGCAAAAGGAGAGTCGGGTGGTCCGCGCTGATCACCGAATTTGTGTGAGCTGCATGCAAGCGACAAAGGAAGATGGTAATCCGTACGATAATGTAGTTCCCTGTGCAATGAGTTTAGCGTAGATGAACAGGAAAGTATATCGCAGCACATACAGGTCAAAATGTTGCTTTCTTCCGGTGCCGCCCATACAAACGGCGGTGGATCTCTCTGCATGGTCATATACTCCTTAGTCAGCTGTAGCAGGGCGTCGTCGATATTAGTATCGATATCATCATGCAAAAGGATGGTAACACACTCGTTTGTGAGCAGCCTTGGAAGCCATGGTGAATGTGGAGAATGAGAAGGACTAGTGAGCTGTGTGAGGAACTGGTGGATAGTTGGAAGTCGCCACCGCCCCGTCGTACGCTCTAGACGGCAGGCCATGTGGCTCTCGCGTGCGTACGATGATCGCGTGACGGATTCGCACGACGCGCCAATGGTTGCACTTCAAGCTTCAAGCTTGATCTGTTGCGCTCATCATGGCACTCCCAACTCACGGACGCGTTATCATCGACACCACCGCTGGCGAGATTGACGTCGAGCTCTGGTCAAAGGTAAGCAGTCCCCATTCATCTTCCTGCGCAAGGCGAGAACGGTCATAGGAAGCTCCCAAAGCATGCCGCAACTTCATAGCTCTGGCAATGGAAGGTGCATCTCATATGAGTCTGCTACTGCCACATGAAACTGATCGCTCTATGTAGGGTACTATGATGGTGTCATCTTTCATCGGTATGGTACCGCAGCGGAATTAATGCCCCGGACAACAAACTGACTCGCGCGCAATGGATCTGGTCTAGTATCGTACCAGGCTTCCTGGTCCAAACAGGAGATAGGACAGGAACTGGTGCTGGAGGAGAGTCATTCTATGGAGGTGTGTAATCTGTGTCCGTCGTCACAAACTTATGCTCACGCTGTGCTCGCCCCCAGAGCCATTCGAGGATGAGATTCATCCACGTCTGCGCTTCTCCCACCGTGGCTTAGTGGCAATGGCGAACAACGGGACCAAGGATTCGAATGACTCTCAATTCTTCATCACGCTCGGTATGTTGCTACCGATCAGGTGTGAAAGTGTTCCTAACATGATAGTCCAGATCGTGCGGACGAGCTGCACGGCAAGCATACATTGTTCGGACGTGTCGTGGGCGACACGCTGTACAGTATGTGTACGATCAGGATCTAACACCGGACTGAGACTGACGGCGGCATATAGATGTACTGAAAATCGGTGAAATGGGTACGTCAAACGCCTGTCCTCTCGTGGATGAAACGAGACACTTAGGCGCTGTGCACTAGAGATTGACGAGAATGGCCGTCCGCTATAGTACGTATTTTCAGAACCTCACAAACCGAGGAGCATCTCATGTGAGAGGAATTCAAGCCCTCCGAAGATCAAGACGGTCCGTATTGTCGACAACCCTTTCGATGACATCGTCCCGCGTATCACCGCTGAAGAAAAGCGTACCCAGCAACGAGCACGAGAGAAGGTTCAGCGTGAGCGAGAAGAAGAGCAGCGTCGTCGTGGGGCTAAGAAGTACGCTGGAAGACCATGAAGTGCTGCTTGAAAAACTAACATTCGCTGTATCCCTCAGAAATGTAAAGTTGCTCAGCTTCGGTGCGGATGAGACGGCAGAGGAGGAGCCTGTTATCATCAAGAAGAAGCCGATTGTTCGTCCAGACCGTAGGTTACGCCGCTGCCAAAACTGGTTCTGGGCAGAACATTGATGGATTGCCTAGTGCTGGAGCCCGAGCAGCCAATATCGATACCGGCCGTCATTGCTCCCGCCAAGGAGAAATTGTCAAAATCTAAGGCGACCTCATCAGAACCAAGTGCGGTATGTGTCTTTCTGCATCGCCTGGAGATAGGGCGCTCATACATCTCAACTGACCGAGCAGCAACCGAAGAAATTATCAATGAAAGAGAAGGAGGACTCTGAGATCATCAAAATCCGCGAGAAACACGCGCAGGAGCAGGCCGCCCAGAGGTAAGTTTGACATATTCAGTACTGTTCTTCTTCATGCAATCTCATCTCACATCGCCATCCAGCAACGCCCGCAAGACTGAGATCGAGAAAATGGAAGCGGAGATCCGGAGGCTGGCGCGGCGGGGTGCAGAGAGCGACGAGGACGAGCCTTCACGGAAGAGACAGAAGAAGTCATATTTGGAAGAGGAGATGGGCAAATACACGAAGGGGCGCGGCGTGCACAAGAAGGGTAAGCGGAGGGACGAAGGAGACGTCCTCGCTGCGCTCAATAGCTTCCGGAGCAAAATCAAGAGCACGGCGCCCGAGCTCAAGCCTGAAGTTGAGCAAATACCCACTGACGGTGAGGGAGCGAAGGGCGGAGCGGGAGTAGAGCCTGCAACAGGCGAGGAAGTGGGCATGGAGGTCGACGCGGACACAGATTTCCTCGCGCATGCGCTGCACTTCCCGAAGGATAACTCCGAGGAGGTGAACAAGGCGGAGCGAGACTATGAGGTGATCGACCCGAGGCAGCGGGGCGCGCGCGCGCGGGAGGAGGAGAGGGAACGGAAGCGTGCAATGAAGGCGAAAGAGGGGCGGAGGGGATACCAGCGGCGGTAGTTGCTGTATCGTGCGTATCATCTTGTTCCATAGCCGGACTTCTCACCTGTGTACACTACCGCTGCGCATGTAAAGCATCGCCCTATTTGCATACGTCCTGTCATATATACAATTGCTCGTTCCTCTCCTTATTCTCCTTCTCATCCCAGAGTCTCGTCAGTGGCCTGTCCGTGCCCGCCGCCAGCGGACCGACCCACTCCCACACCGTCTTCGCGACGTCCTCCTTTGGCCGCTCGGCCTCGACGACGACCCAGCGGCCCTCGCGGAGGATACCCTCACCCATCTCCTCGCCGATACGTTCAAATGCTTCCTTCACGCGCTGCTGGACGTCCGGCCGCTCGTAGCGCTCCTCGCCGAAGCCACCGCGTGCTCGCACAGCCGAGGGCGGCACGTCGAGGAAGAGCGTGAGGTCCGGCGCGGGGAGGCCGATGTCGGGCCCGCGACACCATTCGTATGAGAGGAGAGAGCCGACGTGTGCGGTGGTGGAAGAGGAAGTGGTAGATGGGGGAGGAGGCGCGAGTTTGGAGTAGGAGAAGGCGATGCCGGAGAAGGCGTAGCGGTCGCAGATGATGGTCGTGCCCGCACGGAGGGTGGATTCAATGGTCGATCTGGAGTGTAAAACAGAAGTCAATAGCGCTATCAGCAGTAGAGAGAATGGTACGTACGCAAGTTCCCAGCGGTTTGCGGAGAAAAGCAGGTGCACGGCGTGGTCGTCGAGCTCGGTCTCGGAGCGCAGGTAGGCATCGATCATCTTCCCAATAGGCGTCGTGCGGTCTAGCAATACGCTGTCAGCATTGGATATGTCCCTGCTAGCATTGATTGCATTGTGTACCAGGGAACTTCATGAACTTTGCAGAGATGCCTGCGGCCTGTATGCGCTCGAGCAGGATCGCCGCCTGCGTGCTCTTCCCGGACCTGTCGAGGCCTTCGAGGACGATAAACGTACCGCGTTTCTGTGGTTGTGTAGACATAATGGGTTATCGCGTCGTATGAGAGGGTATCAATGTGCAGTGGGAAGAAAGTGAGCGTCAATATGATAGTCTGATGGGACGCGTGTATACGCGTACGCGTCGGTGGCTCACAGCGTCGACGCGTTTTCCTCCTTGCGATATGTGCAACCGGCTAACCATCACTGAGCCCAACAGAATTCTGGGCAATTCAGCAAAAGCTTTGGCGGGACTAGCTGCATGGCATGGCAGCGACTGGACGCTTTGCATGAACAAGCTGTATTCATGTTGGAAGATCAAGGTGACCGTATGAGTCTACGACTAATTCGGCATACTCATGCAATGGGAATCGCAGCGATGGCCTGCAGAAGACAGTTTTATTCATTTGTCTCAGCCTCTCCAAGGCTTCATATTAGCAAAGTAACAACGACATGGAGCACAGAGCACAGAAAGTAATCGTAAGTTCAACTATACTGTTCGCCTATACCAAACGCTTATCATAAACTAGAAGGTCTGGGTATCACCGACACGAGCCCGATTGATATAAGGTAGAACTGCAAGCGTCCGTACGACGCAAGCAAGTGCGTCAGTGCGCAAAGTCCAATTCCTGATTGAGGCCGCCTAACTCGTCGACTCTATCGAGTCACTTCGACGTCTTCCTCCACTGACTACCTTTGGGAGCGCGAGCCGAAGCTCCATGAGCTCGAGGACATCCCTGCAGTCGTTCGATTAGTCCAATCCAAAAGGTTGAGACAGACCCGGCTCACCGGTAGTTCAGCTTCTGTGTGACCTTATGAGGCGAGCGGTCCCACTCGTCGGCGTAAAAGACCTCCTCCTTCACGTCCTCTTCACCGTCCGAGGAGAACGTCACCGATTTCCGACGCTCCTCAGCGACAGGATTTGATGCGTCAAGGTTGGGCTCGAATTGGAACGAGCCGAATGTCGGAGAGGGTGTGCGGGAGGGTTGTTTGAGGCAGCTCTTCGCGACCATGATGCCAAGGAGCGAGGACGATACGAAAATGTAGTGTGAAGGACGGGCTGCCTGATTACTATGAACGGCAAAACATGAATGCTTGAATGACAACAAGTGAGCAGCACCCTACATATACGCGCCAGCACATCCGCGGTGGCGCCGACGGAAATACCACTTACAGCCCGTCTCCGTTTTCCCGTCGCGGCTCAGGGTTCGGTGCCACGATCCTCGAATGAGCGATACCCGCGCGGAAGCAGACCTGAGCGTCACTCTTACACGTCGTCGACGTTATGAGAGCGCAGTATCCCGGCATGGGAGACATGCTAAAGCGTTCGGCGCAGTGCATTGTGCGACAGGAGGGGGGCTGAGAGAGCGCGGCGTGCGAGAGGACCCGGGCAACTCCTATATAGGAGTGTCGCAAAATAGCATATTTGAGGGGCCCCAAATTGCGATTTCCTTGTCGCGGATTGCATATTTCAGACCTCGGAGGCCCCAAAAGGCTCCAAAAAGACCCTTATCCTTATCGCAACTTAGCATATTTCGGGACCTGATGGGTGTCGGAGAGCCTCCCGATTTAGGCATGTCCAGGTGGCTAACCACTGGTATTGATCGACAAGGCC